TTAATTACAAATTGAACGACGAATAATTCGATCATCGTTAATAACAAGATCCACCTCGATGGATGCACTCACATAAGAGAGAAGCGATATATATAATATAATAACAGTACTAAATTTATTATAATATTTGAATTCGTGTACGCGTGGAAATGTATATGTGTGTGTATGTTTGTATGTATTAAAATGACAACCAAAACAATCGAAAAATAATAATGAATCTACACGTTGTTGTTAATATTGCGAAAATAAACACGATCAAATTTTAATTGAATTTTCTTTTCATTCTTTTTTAATAATAGCTTTCTCTCTCTCTCTCTCTCTCTCTCTCTCTCTCTCTCTCTCTCTCTCTCTCGCTCTCTCTCTCTCTCTCTTTTTTTTTATATATGTAAGTACGTTTAATCGAAGATCGCAATTAAAACGATATAGAATTTTATTAACGAACGTAGATGTTAATATTTCGTTTTGTTTTTCCCTCTTTCTTTTTTTTCTTTTTTTATAATAGTAAAAGATTACATATCTCTCTTCTTATTGCTACGTAAGAACGTTTTACGAAGGATATTTTGTTTAAGTTTGGCAGTTGGTTAAGTATTGTAGAACTTTTACGTATCTTTTTTTTCTTTTTTTTAGAGGTGGCGGGGGGGGGGCGGATGGCGGGGGGAAGGTGTTTCATTTTTTTAATCGATATTATTTCTTACGTCTGCGTTAACCCTTCTTTGCGTGATGATGGAAATTTCAATCATAATATTTAGTCAACAAAAAAAGVTACTCARAACCCTTGTACYGTATATTTGTTGTTGCTGGCAACTTTTTAAGCGACTATTGCGTACAACAAAACGCAGTTGTCAAAAAATAGCACTAGGATTCTTTTTAAATATTTTTTCCTTTAATCTAGAGCATTAATTACATCACCCTGATTTATTTTAAAAAAAAAAGAAAAAATCATGCAAAGAAGGGTTAAGTTTCAATCTCCGATCGAAAATTCCTAATACATTCTATATATATATCGCGCGATAAAGATTATTAAATAATAATAATAAATAATAAATCTAGCATATATATTAAATTATCTCAATATCCGCCGTTCTCTCTTTCGTATTACTTTTTTTTTCTTTTTCGAAGAATCATTTTTTTTTTTGTTTGATTTTATAATTCGACTAATATACATATACGGTGTATTCGAATTTGCGATTAAAGTTCTTTAAAACACCACTTACGTAACTTGATAAGTAATTATGGCAGCTTTCGATTGAGGACACTCGAATGTTCGTAAATATATTTCGATAATTCTTCTTATTTTTCTTTCCTTTTTATTTGATTATTTTTATTATTATTGTTGTTGTCATAGTAGTTGCTAGTTGCAGGACGAAAAGTGGATCGATTAATCGATCCTGATGTATATTATTTCTCTTATAAATCAAAGTCAATCATCATATCTGTATTTCTCATAACGAATCCAATATAAACGCATAAAACGTATTTCTTTCTCTCTCTCTATTTTTTTCTCTCTCTCTCTCTCTCTGTGATGAATGTGAAATACATACACGCGAGATCGTAATTATTCTATTTGATTTTCCTTTTTTTTTTTTCTTCTTCGTTTTAAACGGGTTTCTTTATATCTTTCATACAAAATAAAAGATCCAGTATACCGCGTTGAATAGCATGAAACTGACAGGAAATATGATTCTCGAGTACTTGTCGATCACGTTAACGTCTTTGATTTTTGGCATGGACACGCGCAAAACTGATGCACCTCTACGAATTGCGTGTAATACCTGTAACAAATGAAAATAATATAATAAGTATAAGTATATAAGTTTCTTTGTTTTTATATATTATAACTTTCATATTTTTATATTATTACTTTAAAAATATATTATCGTGTTTTAAATGTGAATAATGAATACACGAATAAGCGTGTAACATATTTTATATATTTTTAAATCCTAATAAAACGAATGTGTTGTCAATTTTTAAACACAAAATTTAATACCAGGTCTTACAATGTACTTTACAATGTTTACATTGTAATCGGTGTTCTGATAAAAATGAAACATTCTAATTTATAATTCTTTCGTGTTCATCCATTAAAAATATATACGCCGTAACAATGATATAAATATAAACACAGGAAACATTGATTTCTAAGTTAGTTATTAATAAGAAATAAATTATTCAAATAGTTTGAAATCATTGTAATAATTTATATATATACCTTAGGTTTATTTTGTTTTGGACCTCTGTATCTGAGTCCGGTGTTTCTACCATGCATGTTATAGGCAACAGTTCTTGATATACGAAAACTTGGTGGAAATTTGGCTGGATCGTGATTCCTTCCAAGGCCAGGTGTCGAGGAAGTACTGATCAAACCTGATCTATTTCTAATACTTGGCAATGGCGACATTCTTAAATCCTGAAGCTCGATAATATCGGCATCGGTTGAACCAGGAAAAGGTGAGGTAGCTTTGCTTCCTTTAAAAATACGTTCGAACATTTCGTTTATATATTTTTCTTGGCTTCTTTCAATAGAAATCAAATAGTTCGTTTGGGAAAAGTTATAAGAAACCTTAAAACGTAATATAACTCTTACCAGTTTTCGAAGTAATAACTTTCTGTTCCTCGTTGTCCTTCTTTTTGCTTTTTTTTTTGGCCCTTGCACCCCAATAAGTGTAATTAACTGCTGCGTACTCTAACAAAGCGGCAAAAACGAATACGAAACACATTACCAGATATATGTCGATAGCTTTGACGTAACTTATTCGTGGCAAGGAACTTCTAACACCGGTTGAAATCGTGGTCATCGTTAAAACGGTCGTGATACCTTAAATGAAAATATATATATATATACATATATAATTTAACTTGCATCATCTTTATTGTATGGACATAAGTAACTTTATTTTATTTTTTTATTTTCTTTCCATTAAAAATTCAATAAATAATTCATTTTTTTTCTCTCGGTGTTGAACCGGTTAAATCAGAAATAGGATTTTGTTGTTCAAGTGGATAATATTATATCTGATACATATATTTCAATATATCAAATCGTTATCAAAGCAATCAGAGAATATTGGACTAAGGTAAATAGTCGCGAAGGTTGAAATATATCGAGCATTGAAAGGAGGATGCTTTTACCCAAGGCCACTCTCGCGCTGGTAGCTTCGTGATTGATCCAAAAGCTGACCCAACTGAGCATTACGATGAGTATGCTCGGAAGATAGGTCTGGAAGACGAAGTAACCGATATTCCGTTGGAGTTTGAAACTTAATGATAACCTCTGATAAATACCGGTAGCCAATTTTTCCTTCCGGTCGTTTGTTTCGTAACCGATTATCGTAAATTGTGGTAATTCTGCTTCCTCGACTCCACGAACTGGAGTTTCCTTCCAATACATTACTACATCGAGTACCGTGTAACCGTCTAAATAATAAAAATAATTAATAAATACATATTAGTATTATTATTTCATTGAATGGAAAACGATTATGATTACTGGCATCATTAATTGTAAAACAATTTTCAAAATTTCGAATCTAAATATAATATGACTATTATATACCACTGATTGACATCATGACAATTTCAATTCTCGTATTTCCCATTGACTCCGATTGAATTTCATTGATTATTCTACGATGAGTCTCTTAATCGATTCGATTATCTAATCAAAATTGTTAATCCTAAAGTTCACGATATTATGAACACGAGTTATCGAAGATGTTCCTTTCACGTTCTATTTATTGACAATACATAGATATATTCGCGTACCACATGATTAATGAAACGTACGTGTACGTACTATTTGCGGTTTTACTTTCTATTCATCGATCATCCGCAATATCCAATTTTCCTATCCGATCATAATTAACGTTCTAAGTCATTTTAATACGTTATGTGTTGTTTACTCTATTATTACATTTAATTATATTATTAAAAATTTTAACCCACTACTATAATCATAATGTTATAAGATTGATAATGTAATAAGATTTTCATTATTGTTTTCGTGTAATTAACAAAAACGTTTTTATCTATGTTGAACTATTAACCTGTTAACTATTTATTTATGATACCAATAAAGATAATAAAAGATAATTTTTTTTTTCTTCTTTTTCTTTTTTCCTTTATTACGCACTCTTACGCAATTTTGCTTATATAAGAAAATTATCTTTTCTATCAATGACTCAATGTAAAACGACATAAACAATAAATTAACAAATTAAATGTCGTCTTTATAAATTAAACAAAAAACAATATATGATTTTATATAAAATCATGAAAATATTGTTAAACGAATTGAATTTATATACTCTCGTACAGCTCTCGATCTCTACGGTGCAATTCTGCGAATCGAGAGGATAGTAATGCAGATCCATCATGCAGGCCAAGGTCGTAGTGAATCTCATGCCATAAGTGATGGAACCGTCGCCGGACAGTCTGACGAGTTTGTTGCGTTCTGTTACGTCATGCAAAAAACTGCAAAAAAAAAAGAAAAAAGAAAAGAATAATGGATGGTATTTGTTTTTTTTTATGGAATCATCATCTCTCATTCTTAAAACTTATTGTGTATTGTTTCGTTAATTAATCATGTGTTCCAAGGATACTAATTCTTTTAATTTGCTTTGTTTTTCTGTCTTTTTTTGTTTTTTCTTTCTTTCTTCTTTCTTCTTCTTTCCCCCTTTCTTTTCTTTATTAATTAAAGTGAACTCTTATTGTCATAGAAGTTGTGTGTATATGTGTATGTGGGTGGGTTGTGTATGTTTGTGTACCTGTTTTTATCGTTTGCGAAAAAAGTATCCGGGACCCAAATTTTTTCAGCAAAATCACCGCTTAGGGTCAAAATTTCTTCCTCTTGCGAAAATGCCAGTCTCTCGTCTTTCCAATATTGATTTAAATACATTGTTATAGTGTAATCCTATAACATAATTAAATCGGTAAACATTTTTATATACACTTTCATTGATTTATTTATTTATTTATTGATTTTTCTTTTTATGATTTTTGGCATCGAGTTTAAAATGATACACGATTTATTTCTTTTCTTTCTTTTTAAAATGTAAGAAGAGATAAAACTGATGATTCATGAGTTACGAAAAAACACAAGAGATAAAATCGTTCGTTTAATATTATCATATTGATTAATTATTATTTAACTCACCATGTTGACTTCGGAAATAGCATCGAAACTCGCTATAGTTAAATCCATACCAACTAACAATGGTTCTCCTATAAAGAACAATAAAAAAATCAACTTGAATGGAACGAGAAAAATAGATGAAATATTTTTTGAATATTATGAGACACGATATAAAAAAAAAAAAAAAAACGATAACTATTATTTCTAATAACTTTATCCGATTTATAAATCCATTAGGATTATGGTTTAATCGGCGTACAGGAGGTCTATTAAAAAAGTTTCAAGCGGATTTCAGTTGAATGGACTGGAAATCCATTACAAAAAAAAAAAAAAGAAAAAAAATCCCCGACTAATACGTTTTACGAGATAACCCCTATAAGATCTTTTAATATTATTATTTCATAAATGTATATTATTACGTAACTATATTATTATTATTATTATTGTTGTTGTTGTTCATATTATTTTTCAAAGTTTATCGATGTTCAACGGAATAAAAGGTACGCGTATATTATTTTAGATAATACCTAATATCTATCTATCTATCTATCTATCTATATATATTTTCAAATACCTACCGCCAAAATTTGGCCTCAATCGAATGTCATAGCCGTCGAGTATTCTCGATATGGTTTGCGTGACATTTTCCAGTTTGTCAAACATTCTTGTGTTCTCCAACGCAGCCCTGAACATATTTCGTCGTTCGTTTTATTAACAATAACAATAAGAACAACTACCATGTTTTATTTGTGCCCGTTACGATGTTATAGTGAAAATATATACATATATATATATATATATATATACATTAATTTTTGTTAATAATCAATATTCTTGTCCCAACAGTATATTAATATATATGAGTTTCAAAGAGAAAATTGAAGACAGTTAATAAATTTTGATGAACAAATTTATTTGATCTTGTTGAACGTTTCGTCCCTTACTGGGGACTTCCTCAGCAACTCGATCA